ATGGATCAGCCAGGTGGCATCATTGATGGACTCAAGTGTGGCAGCCGTAGTGAGGTTGGCCCAGGATCGAACATTGTTTCGTTCTGCTGTGCATGTCGCTATGAGTCAGTTCCGACTCGATGGCACCTGACAACAACAACATAGGGTTTCCAAGGAGTAGTTGGTGGGTTTGAACAGCTAACCGTGCAGTTCAAAGTGACCCTGTGGTACAGTGCACTATCCTGCAGCAACAAATTACGTCAAAACCGAACACTTTTTTTTTTTAGTATGGATCACAGTCAAAACACTACTATGATTCATTTGTCCTTAAGGAAAAGCTAGCGATTTGTCTAATTGTTAAAGCTGGGGGAAAAGTAGCAGCTGCATGCTCTAGTCTCTGCATCTTTCCTTTTGAGAAATGCTATTTTCAGAACAAAGGCCCTCTGGTACTGTAGTTGTAACAATTCAGGCTGTGAACTGCATGGTCAGCAGTTCGAAACTACCAGTTGTTCCACAGGAAAAAGATGAGGCGTTCTGTTCCCATAAAGATTTACAGCCTCGGAAACCTTGTACATGGTCACTATGAGTTGGAACCAACTCCAAGGCACATAACAACAACAATTTTCAAAATATGTTCTCTGTGAAGCATGTCTTGCAAGTGGCCTCCCTCTATAAAGGAAGTTTACAGTTTTCTAGTAATGCCAAGACTAGGTGTGCATAAATTTAGTGTCTAGGCATACATTAGCAGACCCATTTGGTTTCAGAACTAAACTGTAATCTGCTTTATCAAGTACAGTTGGCAGTTACATCCCTATAAGATAGTTCCTATGTCCCATGTCTAATTTAGTTATAAACTCTATGTAAGAAGAGGCTAGCACAGAACAAACCTGGTTACATTTTAATCTCCAGATATTTTAAATGAAATATTATCAGCCATTAACAAAGTTTAAAAAAAGGGAGAGAGGGAACAACTCAATTAGCCATCTTTAATCTTTGTTGTTGTTGGATAAATTTTATTACATCAAAAATATCACTGATAGGTCTTAGCAATCATCGGGACTTGTTTCTATAGCTGGATAGCTTTTATATCTTACTCTTCGGCCTATTGGACAGTTCCTTTTTCAGACACATAGATACCATTCAAAAATTTTCAAATACCCTTATTTTTAACTGTCGTGGCTTGTTGAATTAAAGCACCTTGAATTTGATACAAGTTCAATGTCATTTCCTTCAAGAATTAATTCCTCTTTCTGGGCTTGAGACATTGAATAGGCCATCATCCGGGCCTTGCAGATGTATTTTTCACCCAAGAAATTTTGGATTTCAACAAGAGACCTGCTCTCTTGGATAACCATGTTGATGAGGAAGTGAGCATACACCAAGCTCACCTCATAATAGAAGCTCAGTGTAACCCCCTTGATCATATTCTGCACATGACTACAGATTGTGCAAACTGGAGTCAGTTCCCTTGGATTTCTCCACCATTCATCAATGCAAAGCCGCTCCTTCTTCTTTCTAGAGACACTACGTTCTACATTGATGTGACTAAAGCCCCTCTGCAAGGCTGCTCTGGGGCCCTTCACAGTAACAGTGTGTCCCTTCAGACTGAGGTCAGCATTCTCTGGAATGTTGACAGTCTGGATGCTGAGAATGGTCTTCATTCTCACATATAGATGTGACAAAGTTAATAAGTAATATTATTCCCTAAACTCTCCAAAACAATGTGTTACAAAATAAAAATGTTTATAACTTACATGATCTGAAGTATAGAGGCAACAGCTCCACACGAGGTAAACATCAAAACCCAATCTCACTGCCATCCAGTTATAGCAACCCATATCAACCTATAGCAACCCTGCAGAACACAGCAGAACTGCCTCATGTGGTTTCTAGGACTGCAAATCTTTA